CCATGTCATTGTTGCCTGACAATATTTATCATTATCTTTTGATTTCAGCCTCCCTCTCTTTCTTGATTATTGCTAATATTTTTAATACTTTGCTTGCTATGTTCTCTAGGGTGATCCCTTGTGGGGCTTTTTATTAAAATATTCTCTCATTACTCTTTTCACTAAAAAAAAAAAAAAAAGCATTCCCTGTTATTCCTAATGATCCTAACTGTAGTAATAAGATCTGATGATCCAAAGTGTGAAAGGTTACAGAGAGATCCTGTAGAATCAAGATCGATGTTTGTCACTAAGGCTTTACCACTAAAATCTCATTTACTACATAAGTCAGAACCATTTCTATAGAATGACCTGTCTGAAACCCTGATTGAAATAGATCAAAAAGAAAATTGTGTGTGCTCAAATAAGGGCTTCTCTCTCTAAAAATTTAGAGAGAAATGGAAGGAGAGACACAGGGTGATAATTAACACAAAGTGAAGGATCCAGGAAAGGTTTCTTTAATAAAGGGCACAGAATAACATGCTTAAAGCAGCCTGGAAAAATACCCATTGAAAAGGAACAGTTCAACATGTGGGTTATATAAAGCAGAAACAAAGGCAGAAGGAATGAATAAAGAAAAGATGGGGAAGGGTCAATAGGGGAAAAAGTAGAGGAAGAAGACAACACAATCTGATGCATAGTGGCTTTTGTAATAGGGGAAAATTTGAATTCTGCCCATGTTGATTAAGACATAGGGGGGTTGCAGACTACCAGAAATAGTGCAAATTGAGTCCACTTTTAGGGTTAGGGTTAGTGCTAGGGAATCATGGGGATTTTTTTTTTCTGGGACATTGAGCCTTCTCTGTCAGAGAGCTCTGGTGCCACAATAAACTACAGTCCCCATGATTCCCTAACTCTAACCCTAACCCTAAAAGTGGACTCAATTTGCACTATTTCTGGCAGTCTGCAACCCCCCATAGTCTGAGCCAAAAGCTATGGTAAATCAGCTGATAGCAATGGTGGAGAAGATCAATCGACAAAAAATGATTTAACGATTGAGGCCATCTTCTAGGTAAAAAAGGAGGCTAGATCACTTGCAGAAAGAACTTGGACTACTGGACCCACATTACAACCAGCCACTGGACTCAATACAATGTTAAAGGTACAAATAACTGATGAGGAACATGACCTCAAATCTTCTCCTGTAGATAAGATTGTAGGGATTTGTCCAGTGGCATCACTAGGTTTGGTGTCACCCAGTGCACTAACTCATGATGTTACCTCCCTCATTGACCTCCTCCCATACAAAACCCATACAGAATCCTAAGTAATGTTATATGTACTAATTTACTCATAAATCGTAATTCCCATATACCACTCAATGTGACATAAACTAGCAAAATTAAAATTATACCTTTAAATGATATTATCATTTGCACAGTCTACATGTATTTACATCAGGGGTAGGCAACATTTTTGAGCCGGGGACCGGGTTGCTGTCCCTCAGACAATGGGGGGGGGGGGGGGGGGGGTGAAGCACCAAAAATAAATAAATAAATAAATAAATAAATTTAAAGTTAAAAAAATTAAAAAAAATATGCATGCACACTCTCTCAGCCCCAGAGAAGCCATGGCAAAACCCCTGTGGAGATTTTGCCAAGAAAACCCAAGAACAAGTAATAACAATAATAACCTAATCATCATGGAAGCTACTGGAAGGCAGGGCCACAAACAAGCAGGGATGCATGGACATTGTCTCAGCCCCAGAAAAGCCATGATGGCAAAACCCCTGTGGAGATTTTGCCAAGAAAATCCCAAGAACAAGTAATAACAACAATAATCAATATCATCATGGCGGGCAGCGGCGGCAGGGGTGGTGGTGGTGGCAGCGGCACGACCGGCCTGGGGCTGGTCCAAAGGCCTTGGGGGGGGCACATCCGGGCCCTGGGCCTTAAGTTGTCTACCCCTGGTTTACATGTACATAGTTTCATGTAGTTAGAGTGAAAATGTGTATAAAATGTGACATTTTAAATAAAGAAAATTAAAAATTAAAAAATTAAATCAATTTTAAAAAAACTGGGGCCCCTCCTTTCTCCTCCCACTCTACTCACACCATCTCTTCAGTATTTTAAAGATATACAGGCAAATGCCATTTTTCTTGCATGTCTGACATTTTGCAAGGCTTGTCCTCCTTTGCAGTTAGGCAGCCAGCCATCCTCAATAAGATAAAATGTTATATTGATAAACTCATATAATATATTTTTAAAAAGGCAACCAGTCATCCTCCTGTTCCAGGACATGTTCTATATTTCAGCGTTCTCCCCAGGAAGAATTCCAAAATGTGCTCTTTTTTGAGCACGACTGAGGTCCAAAACGCACTGTAAAAATAATCCAGTTTGAGACTGCTTTACTGCCCTGGTGCAGTGCTAGGAAATTCTGAGAACTGTAGTTTTGTGAGACATTTAGCCTTCTCTGTCAGAAAGCTCTGGTACCACAATAAACTACAGCTCCCAGGATTCATTAGCACTGAGTCTGATTGGTTAAAGTGGTCTCAAACTGGATTATTTATGCAGTGTGTTTTGGACCTAAGAAGCATGAATTTACATTTATATTAAGTGTTTATAGCTTAATCATTTGGAGACATGGGGCTGGGTGTTACCAGTATGCTGATGACACCCAGATCTATTTCTCCTTGTCTCGATCGTCGGCCTCAGCTCCTGAAGGCATCTCTCCTCTCAATGACTGTCTTAAGGCTGTAATGGACTGGATAAGGAAAAACAGATTGAAGTTGAATCCAGACAAAATGGAGGTGCTCACAGTAGCGGCCCCGAAACCAGGAATTGGGTTGCAACCTCCAGTCCTGGATGGGGTCACACTCTCCATGAAGGACTGTGTTCGCAGTCTGGGGGTGCTCCTTGACTCACCACTCCTGATGACTAATCAGGTAAATGCAATGGTCAGGAGCATCCGTTATCAGCTTTGGCTGATACGCCAGCTGCGCCCTTTCCTGGAAGTGAAGGACCTTGAGACTGTGGTGCATGTGCTGGTAACCTCTCGTCTGGATTCCTGTAATGTGCTCTACATGGGGCTACCCTCGTGCTTGGTCTGGAAAATTCAGTTGGTACAGAACATGGCAGCCAGAGGGATCTCAGAGACATCTAGGAGAGACCACATAACACCAGTATTGAAGTCTCTTCACTGGCTGCTTATTAGTTTCCAGGCCCAGTATAAGGTATTGGTTATGACCTTTAAAGCTTTAAATGGCTTGGGTCCAACCTATCTTCAGGACTGCCTCTTCCTGGCCTCAGGAGCTTATCTATTTTACCTCTCCTATTGTCGATGCCTTTGTATGTTTACTCTTTGCTTTAGTCTGTTTATTTTAATTCTGATGTTTTACTTATGTTGTTTTAATGGATATCTGGTTTAATATTTTTAAGGGGGGGTGGGCTTTGGGATCTTAGAGTGTATTCTGAGATAGGTATGGAATTTTAATTGCTGTAAGCCACCTCAATTGTTTGACAGAGGGGTGGGGTATAAATAATAATAATAATAATAATAATAATAATAATTTGGTCATCTTACATTTTTTTTCTTACATCTCTGACATTTTGCAAGGCTTTGTCCTCCTTTGCGATTAGGACATCTGGTCTTCCTGTTCCGGGAGGAATTTAAGATCCAGATTAAAATAAGATTGATGGGTCAGAATTAGCAAAAAAAAAAAAAAGATAGACAGAGGAGGAGGAGGAAGCCATGATGCTCATTTGGACTCTCATTTTAGCTAGTGAAATTTAGCCAAGGGAAAGGCAGTGAAAGAGAACTTTCTTTGTTCTTTGTACACAAAACACACACACCATTCCTCCACATGACTCATGAAAGCAGAGCGCAATTGCCTTTTACAGGCAACAGTTTCGATCTATAGTGCTTCCTCTTTGGAGAGCCATGAGGCATGAAGTGTCAGGCCTTCTAGGCATGTATGTCCATGTTTCTTGCACTCATTGTCCCACACAATACACAAATGTAGACATTCCCATGTTACTTATGCTGTTTCTTGCAATGACATTTATGACAGAGTGACCAGATGTTTTCCTAACCACATAGGAGGACAAGGCACACAAAATTGAAGAACAATGTAGGACTAAAAAAAATCCACAATATGAAACTCAAGCTAAAAAAACTTAATATACACAGAAATTCATGCTGCTTCATCATGCTCCTGGACAAAAGGTTGAAATGTAGGATGTGTCCTGGAAAAAGGAGGATATCTGGTTGCTTAACCACAAAGGAGGACAAGGCACCACAAAATGTGGGACATTAAGAACAATGTAGGATTTAAAAAAAACCAGTTAATATAAAACTTAAGCTAAAGACACTTAAAATAAATATGAATTCAGGCTTCATAGGGCCTATACAGATAGCGCTTTGCGCCGTCTTGGAGGCAGGGAAGGGAAGGGAAGGGGCAGCCGCATGCCACACGCCGGCTACCCCAACCCCTCCCCAAGGATGTTCTGATGGCACACGCCATTATGCATTGTGCACTCTATCAGAACGTCCTCCCAGTGCAGTGTCTTGACACGCTGTTCTGGAAAGGACACAGAAGAGCCACGCGGCAGCTCTTGGGGTGGCCTATTTGCTGCCTCTGAAAGGAGCGTCATTTTGGTGCTCCTTTCCACGGCGGCAAATGGGAGAATTGGGGCCGACACATCCTGCAGCCTTGGCCTTGATCCTCCATTTCCTAGGGTGGCCCCTTAGTCATGCTTAAAATAGAGGACATTCTGAAATTCCTGGAAAGGGAGCACATCTGGTTGCATAAACACAAAGGAGGACAAGGGACTACAAAATGGAGGATGTAAAACTAAAAAAATCCCACTTAGTATGAAACCTTTAAGTTTTAATATAAATATATATTCATGCTTCTTAGTCATGCTCAAAATGGAGAACATTCTGAAATTCCTCCTGAGCAGAATGTTGAAATGTAGGATGCATCCTGGAAAAGGAAGATGTTTGGTCATCTAACCAGAAAGGAAGACAAAGTGGTGTAGTGGTTTGAGTGTGGACTACAACTCTGGAGACCAGGTTTCGAATTCCAGCTCGGCCATGGAAACCCACTGGATTACCTTGGGCAAGTCATACTCTCTCAGCTTCAGGGCAAGGCCATGGCAAAGCTTCTCTTAAGAAACTTGCCCAAAAAACCTCATGATACATTCATTTTAGGATCACCATAAGTCAGGAACAACTTGAAGGGTGGTGGTTTTTCCCTGCTGAGGCTTATAGCAGCCCTTCTGCCGCCCTTCCTTGGGGAAGTCTCCAACAGTGAGGGAGCCTGAGGAAGGGCAGAAGGAGGAGGAGGCAGCTCCTAACCATGGTGAGGTTGGAAAGGCCAACTGCTTGGCCAGGAGGTTCTTTACAAAAGTCCCTGGGAAGGGATGGGCAGAAGCTCTGGAGGCGCTGGGGGCATTTTGACCTTCTCAATGACCAAAAGAGGGAGTTGTGATTGGATAAATTTGACTTCAACCATCATAATTCATGAACAGAATGTCAGTCAATAAATAAAATAATAAGATAAATCATAGGATCATAGAATCAGAGAGTTGGAAGAGACCACAAGGGCCATCCAGTTCAACCCCTGCCATGCAAGAACTCACAATCAAAGCGCCCCCAACAGATGGCCATTCAGCTTCTGTTTAAAGACCTCCAAAAAAAGGAGACTCTACCACTCTCCAAGGAAGTGTGTTCCACTGTCGAACATCTCTCACAGTCAAGAAGTTCCTCCTAATATTGAGATGGAATCTCTTTTCTTGTAGCTTGCATCCATTTTTCTGGCTCCTATTCTCTGGAGCAGCAGAAAACAAGTTTCCTCCTTCCTCAATATGACACCCCTTCAAATACATAAACAGGGCTATCACATCATCTCTTAACATCTCTTCTCCAGGCTAAACATATGCAGCTCCCTAAGTCTCTTTTCATAGGGCATGGTTTGGTAAAGGGAAACAGCATAGTAGTAAACTACCTGTAAGTAAATGTAAACAGTGTAAAATGCAATTTAATTAGAAATCAGTTTCAGTAGAAATAATAGGTTCAGTTTTCATGTCAACGCCTACTGGTTGCTCCAAAGTCTCCTGATGCACACACATTCTATAGTCTCTGTATGATTCTTCTGAGCACCTCTTTATGCTTAAATATAGTACAGAATGAATACATATATATTCTATTTGTAAATGACATTCTTAAACCCTGTCTGCTGATTCTCTGCAGCAATACAGTATTATGAGGGAGTAATTTTTCCAGGTAAGATATGGTAGGGAAGTAGATAGGCACAAAATATGATTGATCTTTCCTTAAACTTTAACTCTTTCCCTATAATTATCCACAGTAACTTTTCATTCACTTTAGTTCCAGAACCATCACAAGTTGTGAGTTGACATTATCACAGAGAACTATGGGTGGGAGTGGGAAATACAAATTGTTGCTGTTATCACTTTTTTCTAAGTTGAGGACTCAAGATGGCTTACAAAGATTAAAACAGAAACAGCTTAAAAATCATATCATGCAAAAGTTTAAAATATAATTAAATTAACAATATAATAAATACATTGATATGCTGGAGTGTATGTTGTGTATATGGTGTTATTAGATCAGGTTAACCATGTAGATAAAGGCAATCCATCTCTGAACAAGTTTTGCCAAGAAAACCTTATGATAGGTTCACCTTAGGGCCACCGTATGTCAGAAACATCTTGAAAGCACACAACAACAACAACAACAACAACAACTATGTGTAGGTGGAAGCCGATGTTACAACTTTGTACTGGTCCACAAAAATTAAATTAAATGAAATAATATAAAATGAAATGAAGTACTTGTGTCCCTTTAGAAGCTGGGGACACTATCTGATAAAATGCATCAGTGTAAATGCCAATAAGACTATTAAATTCAAATTCAAATGGCCCTACATGGGTTATTGTGCTTTAGATTGTCTGTGTCATGTAATGAAAATGAAAGCCTCTGGACTGAGACACTTTTACACTACACTACGATTCCATTTTAACTTCCATTGCAACATACTGCGAAATCCTGAGGTTTATATTTGGCTGAGGCTCTAGATCTCTCAGTTTGAGAATTTTGAATGTCACTTCCCCAAACTACAGATCTCATGATTCTATAATATTTTGTCCTGGCATTTAATGCAGAATTATAGTGCTATAGTTGTACACTGTCAAAGGGTCCCAGAGTACAGTTTAGAGATTATAAAAAATTCCTTTTAAAAAACATTTTTTTAAACAGCATATACTGTTTGGGGTTTTGTTGTTATTGTTGTTGTTTGGCGTGTGTGTGTGTGTGTGTGTGTGTGTGTGTTTGTGTGTGTGGTTTTTCCCCCTTCATAAATATCCTCTTTAATCAAACAGAGAATTTGAATTTGTGATTCAAAGGGGCAGCCATTATACCACACAATGATATCAAGACATGAAATACTGTTTGGAGGGACTATATGGCTATACAGACTTTGTTCCTGAAATAAATTTTACATGTATAAAATTCTTTGTTCTTTTTGAGTACCATATCTGAGAGGTAGCATTAAAGCTCTGTCTGCATTACCTATAATAGTGAAAATGAGTGATTGTTGTTGTTGTTGTTGTTATTTATTTATATAGCACTGTAGATTTACACAGCGCTGTACATATAGTCAATAAAATAGATAAAGGGGGCCTGCAGATGGGCAGCTCTGGGCTGCCCCTGCTAGTAGCGGATCAGGGCTGTGGCTACCCCATGCCATGGCCCCAATCCTCCCTTTTGCCACCCCTGAAAGAGCAGCAAAATGCTGCTCCTTTCAGGGGTGGCAAAAGGGCACCCTAAGAGCTGGTGCATGGCTCTTTAGTGCCCTTTCCAGTGCAGCACGTCAGGACATTGGTGGACTGGGGTTGGGGTGGCCAGTGTGCCGCTGCCCCTCCCCACCTCTGCCTCCAGGCCAGCCCTTTGGGCCAATCTGCAGAGGCCCAAAAATAAATAAAAAAGCCTGCATTCTAAAAAATTTACATTCTAAAAAATAATAAAAATAATAAAACAAATATTAATACAAAGAAGGCAACATATTAAAAACATCAAATAATTGTTAGCTGCCCTCAAGTGACCCTGTAGATGAGACATCTACAATAATCCCCATCTTCCACTGCCTTACCCAGATCCTGCAAGCCCTTCTTCATAACCCCCCTGACTGAGTCTATCCATCTGGTTTCTGGTCTTCCTTTCTTCTACCCTATACCTTTCCTACCATTATTGTTTTTTTCTAGTGATCTGTGCCTTCTCATTATGTGGCCAA